CTGAGGCATGTGGTAATATTTATCGTAATAACCGGATAAATAATTTTTGAAAAAACGCTAAATACCGCGTGAAGAATAACAATAATGATAAGTATAGTCGATATATGTTTCAAACAAATAGACAATAGATAACTTCCATCGGCAGACTGGGTCTTCGTGTCGAATAAGTTTTATTTTTCTGAATTAGGTAAGAATAATTATCATTATTGTTATTCTTCACGCGGTAATTAGCGTTGTTTCAAAATTATTTATCCGGTTATTATGATAAATATTACTACATGCCTCAATGATCGAATGGATAAAACACTCGCACGTTAAGCGAGCGATTCAGGTTCGATTCCTGGCTGGGGTATATTTTTCGTAATAAAATAATTTTCAATAGTCGGGAATTAATCAATTTCAAATTTGATTATCGATTTAATAAGGAAGGGATGAATTTAGATTTAGCTTTGAATAGGCTATGTTGCAAGATCGTTGAATTAATGACATGTAGTTCGCGGTAAGCATTGTCTTACAATTCAGAAAACTAAAAATTATTCGACACGAAGACCCAATCTGCTGATGGAAGCCATCTATTGTCTTTGTTTGAAACATATATTGACTGTAATTATCATTATTGTTAAAATGATATCTATTTGTCATGTCTTTAAGATACTTAGAAAAAAAACGTTCGCTAGATGTCTAAAAAGAGATGTCTATAAAACTTGACTAAAAGATGTCTTTATGACGTCTTTTAAACAAGTCTTAAAAACGTTTCTTTTAAGACATCCAACAAATGTCTTTCAGATTTACGTGTTCTCTGGAGTTCTCTTCCAATTCTTTTCTTAACTTCTTATGAAAAAATTTAGAAAAAGTATTTAAATACGTAATACACAATTATAAAACCATGTTCTTTATTTAAAAATTTATTTATTTATGCATGATAAGTCCACTTCAAAATAATTTATTGTCAAGTTTTGTATTTTAAACTGCTTGGAAATTGAAGCATTTTATAAAAGTATCACGATTTTGTAATTCGCGCAAATTTGAAAATGACATATTTTAAAAAGCATTATAGCATTATTCGCGAGTGATTAGTTCCACATTATATGAAGGAGCCGTGTACCAAGGCAGAAAGGTCGGGTATCGAACAATTCCGTTGTATTTGCAAAAATATGGTTTATTCACTACGCACACAATTAAAAGTCGAGGAGAGCGGTATGGCTTTTCGGTAGTTTCAGCTGTCGAAATACAGGGCGGTGACATAGCGGAAACCTTTTCGCGTTAATCAACGGAGATTTTCAAAAACACGGCAAATCGAAAATCAAAAATCTTCTCACGGCAAATGTGGCAACGATCACTAATTTCGTTCGGAATACGAGACGACGGTAAAGGCGATGCCAATCGCCGGAATGGAAAACGCTATCGAACTATCTAGCGATCCATGTCAATCGGGAGCAAAAAGCGAACGCGAGTCGTGCGCGACGAACAATGTTCTCTCGTCCTAATTTCGAGGATCGTAGAGGTGAGCTACATCGCGAATTCCGCGGAGCATGTGTTTACTGCGTGTACCCCATGCCAGGTACGCGTGATGTACACTTAGCTCGAACTGTAACAGGCGATCTGCGAGACAAATAAAGAATCTACGAATTTCAATTATCTTATTTTTAAATAAGATAATTGAAATGTGATATGTATGTCTTAATATTACATGTAAGAATTAAAAAAGTCAAAAAGAATAAAAAAAAATGTATTTATGTGCTATCCGATTTGATATGAAATTACTTATATAAGAAATAAATAAATTAACAATGTTAGGTAAGTTATAATTATGTGACCTTGTTTATTTATTTAGCAACAATTCTTGTTTTCTGTTTTACTTGCTAATATATTTTTGTATAATTAATTTTTATTCTGCCACGAATCTAAGATTCATTTAATAATCTCAAACAAAATGTTCACAAGACATTTCAAAGTTATCGAATCATAAGATATCTTTAATAGGCTTTCTACAATAAGCTCTTAGTAATATGGTAGATCATAAGTCAGAAAATAAGAATTTACCAATCACAGATTGAATATAATAAGAATACTCGACTATGATTGATCAATTCTTATTTTCTGACTTATAATCTATTGCTTATGGTTTATTGTAGAATGACATTAAGACGTCAGACAATGATTTTCTGGCAGTTTTATTGGATATTTTATAAAAGTATGAAACATATTTTAAATGTCCTCAAGCCACATCACAGTGCTGTTTGGAAATATTTTTTCTCTTTATATATTTTATATATTTTATATATTTCAATACATTTTATCTATAAACTATACCTTTTCTGGGCAGTGTGCTCCAGGTCCTGGGATTTGCAAACGATCATCAGGCAGCGAAAAACGTGCGCTTATACTGTATGCCGGACTCTTCGATCTGACAGCATCTGGTTTAACAATCTCATATGAACCTGGTCCGGGTACGAGAATCCGATCATCCATAAAAACTTTTTGCCGACCTGATATCGAATAGGCGGGTGCTGCTTTCTTGTTACCCTCTTTAGTTCCACCGAGGGCGGAAGGAATGTTATAGATGTTAGGTGCTAAAATTTGATTAATCTATTTTCTCAGAATTTATTATGCATTCTTTTATTTTTTATTTTTTTTTATATGAATTATAAACAATTTTATTCACCATTTACGTCGTATTTTTTCCTTTTTGCATAATTTGTAATAGTTTGTAAAATATCTTCAAATTGCCTCTCTGATAAAAATTTACCTTATTAAATAATTTTATAAGATGCAAATATGCTAATAAATTTTTAAAGAGAGACAATGAAAAAAATAATTATATTGGAGCCAATTAAATGTAATTATTGCAATTTTGTTGCATTTCATGCATATCAATGCGTAAAATAATAGTACAACGTATACTTTTTAACAATGCAATATTATATAAATTATATCTCTAAAATTAATAGATTGAATTATTATTTACCAGGAATGTCATTTGGTCTAGTCACGGGTAGTTTAAGACCGAAAGTAAATTGAAATGTTTTCTCTAATAAAAGCATTGCTTTTTCTGGATTATATTCGCTAGGACCTAAAATATTATTAATTAAAAATAAATTATAATTTCAATAATTAACGAAAGTATATAGAATGAATTTAATAAAAACTTATCATATTTTTAGAAATGTTTAGAAATAAAGGAAAACATATACAGAAAGTTATAGAATTTCAAGGAGGTTATATGATTGTGACACTAATTTATTTGCAGATGGTATCACTATCGAAATTCTTTACAATCGTCATTTTTTAAAATAGAATTATACATTTTTTGTTACATAATTATATAATTCATATAAT